AATAACGGGGGCAACATGGGTGGGGAGTGGGATGAGGCACTACACACTCCCAGCTTTGCTTAATCAGAGATCAACATAATAAATAATCAAGTTTGCTCAGTGCTTCAAAGTTTACACAGAGCTTTCACATACAATTCCATTTCTACAAGTCAGGAAGTGGAAATGAACTCATTTAACTCAAATGAAGTTAGACTATAATTAGATTCAAATGACGTTGGACTATACATTCAGTGCTAGCTCTCTCTCTCTCTTTATTCCTTCCTTCCTTCTTCCCTTCCCCCTTCTCTCCCTTCTTCCCTTGCCTGCCTCCCTCCCTCCCTCCTTCCCTCCCTTCCTTCCTACAACTCACTATCCTTGGTAAACAAAAGAGAATACAACATTTTGGAAAACTATACAAGAATGCTTATTTTCATTTTCCATTTCTCTCAAAACACACTTTCATAATCCCAACATGCACCTACACATGGGAAGTAATCATTTCAGCAAGGCCTAGATAAGAAAACATGAGCAATGGAAACAATGACAATCTTTTCTTTTCCCTTTCCATCGGTTACAATTAAGTGACCTTGGGAGGTATCTAAAAGATCCTTTTGTCCATGCTTCTTGGCAAATACTTTGGCTAGCTTAGGAACTTCCTGCATGGGGTTAACCTCCTAATCCAACATAATGTTTTGGATAGGTAGGGATGGCTTATGGTCAGATCAGTTTTCATTTTTATATTTACATTTCGACTTTCATGGGGTTTGGACAAATCTCAAGAGTGGAGTTACTGCTGCCAGGCACCAGCACTGCATAAGTACAGCCAGTAATTCTGCCCACCAACTGGCAGGATGGGCTCCTGCCCTGGGCATCACAAATCTATAAAAATAAATTTATTAAGGAACATACAGCCACTTCTGTCAGTAGGCGTCTGTGTTGAGACTACATAAAACATAACCCTAACCCTTTGCTTTCAAAACCATCACTATTCATGTTCCAGAGAAACACTTCTCCCCTGTAGCCCCTTGTTCTTGAAACAAAAGGTGACTGCATCCCACAACTTGAAGGTTTGCAGGATGTGCTGCCGCTGACATGGAAGATGGACGCTCCTAAATATGTGGATGATGTATAGTGGAGGTGCTTGATTAAAGGAAAAGTCAAATGAACTAAACTGTGAAAACCTTCCTTTTAGATAGCAAGCATATCATACAGTCTTAGATAATAAGGGTCTCCTAGTAATGCCAAACATCCATTTCATTGCATCTTATTTTGTTCCAATTCATGGTTCTGGAAGACGTCACACAGCAGTATAGTATTTGCATGTAGTTGAACTTGGCGATTGGCCAATATTTTGCAAAATTAAATAATATTACTGTTAAAATGGTAAATATGACGTTATAACACATGAAACATAATACTGATTATTTATGTTGGCAACCAGGTGAACAATGAATGCTAGAATTGGTAATAAGTTTATGTTTCATTTACACATTAATAAGGTGTAATTAAATTTTCAAATATTAAATAAAATGCTTATGCTTTAAAAAATAACTTTTATTTCGGTGTTTACGTTCATTGTCACAATTTGTATTTTGCATTTTAATTCTAATAGATAACTTTAAATCATTTGAAAGAAAACTTTTAACAACTATAGGAAAGTAATCAAAGTAATTCTAATTTTCTGAAATAAAAGTAATTTACATTTGTGGTATAAGTACATATATTTTGTATGATTTGACTACATTAATCTTTTATTTATTTATTTAGAATTGGGATCTCATTCTTTACCCAGGTGGAGTGTAGAGTGCACAGCTCAGTGCAACCTCAAACTCCGAGACTCAAATGAGCCTCCAGCCTCAGCCTCCTGAGTAGGTGGGACTACCGGGATAAACCACCCTGCCTGACTATTTAAAAAATTGTTTTGTGGTGACAGGATCTTGCCATGCTGTCCCAGCTGGTCTTGAAATCCTGGCCTCAGGTGATCCTCTGGCCTCTGCCTCCTGAGTTGCTGGGATTACAGCTGCAAACCACCTCACAGGGCCTGAATACATCTATCTTTCAGATCAGTGTTGTTCAATAGCACTTTCTATGATGACGGACTTGTTCTCTTTCCATGGTGTACAATACAGTAAGTCTAGCCACATGAAGCTACTGAGTATCTGAAATGTAGCTAGTGCCACTGAGGAACAAAACACCGGAAATGCTGTTAGGTGTTACCAAACAGAGCAGCAAAGCTTTAAATTATTGCTGTCAATGGAACACAAATTAAGTGAAAATCTTGATGATAATAGCGATTTTACTAAAATAAAGAGAAATATCAATTTTTTATTGTTACTTATCCATATAGCCTATCAAAGAAAATCTAGATATGTATAATGTCTGGTAGATATGCATAATTCAGTTGCTGATATTTTGCTTTTGCCATATAAAATAGGTTTTCTTTTCTTTCCATTTGGTTGTTATATCTGTCAAGGTAGGAAGATATATAGTAGTTTGCTAGCTTGATTAATAGCTTTGAAATATTAGGCATATGGTAGTGGCTATGCATTTGTCTCTTGCCCAAGCCTACCAGTGTCAGGGGCTGACCTGATAGCACCCCTAACTCCGACCAGCCATTCTGCAAATGTCACTCTTGTTCCCAGTGAGTCAAGAGTGAAATGTGGTTAAAACTAAATCTCCACTGCTGAAAAAACAAGTCAGAGCAAATGTCCCTCTGGAAGGATTCCTATAGCCTTCCTTTCTTAGAGGAAGTCCAATCCATTCATTTCAGCAGAAGACTTCCATTTAGGCTCAAAGGCTCCTCTGACTAGTTACCTATAAGAGGGAGTAAACTAATAGTAATTGTCATGAATTGAGAAGGCATTTGAAATGTGGATGCAAGGCTGCAAAGGGTAGAGTCAACTAAACATTGTAAAGACAAAGATTGAGAATAGGGATAATTGAAATTTACAGATCCTCCCACTAAGCTTTAAGTAACAGGCAGAAGGGACAGGGTTTGTAGAGGTTACCAGGGAAGTCCAGTGGCAGCAGCAGTTGGAGTACTGGCAGGGATTTCTGTCCACTGCCTCAGTGGCAGGTCTGAAGTATAGCCCCTTCCTCTTCATCCTGCTGCCCATCGTCCCTCCACCGGGGGACTGAGTTTCCCTTGCCCACAGTGGTAACTTGCTTATTAACACATCCTATATAGATGTCTGCTTTTATTTTCTTTGTCTTGCTGTCTTACTTCCTTGTAGTGCTTTCTGGGATCACTTCCGCAATGCAAAACCACTTATACTTAAATCCTAACCTCCAGGTCTGTTTCTTATGGAGTCCAGCCTAAGACAACATCCAGCCCTTAGCACAGTGTCTGACATATGATATTGCCTCAGTAGATATTTGCTGAAAGAATTAATATACTTTGCAAATGAAATCCTACCCTAATATTAACTTCTTCACCTATTTTAAAGAAGTTACTCTGAAGCAACGTGATTAAATCAACTTTTATCCCCTTAGCTTCCACCTCTGTCTTCCCATCAGCAGAAAACTCCACCGGAAAGCCTATTACAATTTTTTTTTTTTTAAAGCAAATAGGAACTCCAGTATAGAACACAAGTACATCAAAATGGAAAGCCCAGGTTGCAGATTTGACCATCCTCACTTGCCAATCTTGAAGACATTGCTTCCTTCCGGAGACTTCAATGGTCATTTCACAGTTAAAGATAAGGCTCCACAAGCACATACTGTAGTTGGGAGAACTGGCAGGACCTTACATATTAAGATCATATTAAGAAGTAAATTATTAATATAGAGACTTTTTTTTTTTTTTTTTTTTTTTTTTAAGACAAAGTCTCGCTCTGTAGCCCAGGCTGGAGTGCAGTGGCATGATCTCGGCTCACTGCAACCTCTGCCTCCTCGTCCTGGTTCAAGCAATTCTCCTGCCTCAGCCTCCTGAGTAGTTGGGATTACAGGAATGCGCCACTCTGCCTAACTACTTTTTGTATTTTTAGTAGAGACGGGGTTCACCATGTTGGCCAGGCTGGTCCTGATCTCGTGATCCGACTTCCTCGGCCTGTCAAAGTGCTGGGATTACAGGTGTGAGCCACCGCACCCGGCCAATACAGAGACTTCTTTTAAAGAGTAGGTCTGGTAAGTATCTAGTAAGTGGAGATCCTGAAATAAGAGGAATGTTGGTTGTTACACTAAAGGCAAAATCTTCTAGTTCCCGGATTTGCCTTGGGAAGAATGGCAGCTGTATCTTTCTTGATTCTGGTGTACACTGGATACAGGGTCAACATGAGTGTGGAATCCATTTATTTCTTACGTCTTTATAAGCACTAGAAAGCAGTGAACGCTGTCAGAAGACCCCTCTTGTGGAAGAAGTGCAGGAGAACTCCCTGGCGCCTCTGCATCACCGGTTTGCCTTCTAACCGGTATCCTTGCTAGAACCCTGTCACTCGGTTACTTTGGTTCCTAATTTAACCTCTTCCCAAGCCTTCTATTGCGTTCAGTTAGCAGGCCAGGAGCTTACAGCTGCCTGGTTGGTGCTGGCTAAATACGCTTATTCCCTAGAAGGCAGAAGGCTCACTTACCAAAAAAATTACAATTAAAATAAAAAATTTACTCTTTGCTGAAGCATTGTAAGGTTTTTTTATTCACTTAATAAAACAGTCATCTCAGACCCAAAATAGTAAAACTAAAATATTTTAAGACATTACTTGATTCACTCTTCACTTTTCTTTCTCCCCCGTTTCCCAGCACTTTGCATCAGATACAGAAACCAAGGGTTATGTCCAAACCCTGGTTTGGTGTGACCGCAGCCTTCCGTGCACTGCCAGCGGCTCGCTCCAAGACCACATGGGACGCCGAGGCATGTTGAGGAGGCAGAACGGCAGAAGAGCGCCCTGCTTTCCGGGCGCCGGGGAGCGGGGCCAGCGGCGTGTACCCGGCGGGCCCGGCCGGGAGCGGGCTGGCGATCACTGGACTCGGCGCTCCCGGCTCCCGCGCCATCTCCGGGCGCCAGCCAACTTCGCTCTGCCGGCGGCGCAGAGGAGCCCGCAGCCCTCCGGAGCCTCCGCGATCGCCTGGCTAGCTTTCCCCGGAGCAGCCGAGGAGCGCAGGCCCGACGACTCCGGGGGCAGCTGGCCCTGTGCAGTGACATCGCCATCCGGAGCCGGGCTCGAAGCCGCCTGGCCGCGCCCGCGGGGTCGCAGGCCGCTGGTCCTGCCCGGCCGAGCTCACAAACTAATCGCGACTCGTGACCCGGGACAAACTTGTGGCGGCGGCGCAGCCCCTTCCACAGTCACCCTCCCCCGAGCCAGTCACCAAAATAGAAGACGCGGCTGGGCCGAGGAGGTGGGCGGGGGAGCACGGTGGCCGCTCCTCCCAGCGCGGCGGACGCCCGCTTCGGCGGCGGCAGTGGCGGTGGCCGCGGGGCCGCCCCCAGCCGATCTCCCGGAGGCGGTGGGGCGCGGGCCGGCGGGGCGCGGGCGCTCACGCCCTCTAGCGGGCCGCGGCGGCGCTGGGCGGCCGTGACGTGAGCGCTCCCTTCAGCCGGCCTGCGGGGCACCGCCAGTCAGTCGGGGAGCAAGAGCCCCGCGCGCAGCCGGCGCGGGCTCGGCCATCGGCGCGCCGCCGCCCGTGGCTGGGCTCGGGGCTGCCTGTGGAGAGACGGCGGGCGGAACGCGCGCGGCCACGGCCACCGCCACGGCCGCGGCCACGGCGACGGCCGGCAGCTCGGGTCCCGCGTCCCGGGCAGGAGAAGGCGAGAGGCGGCGAGCTCCGCCGCCCGAACCGAGGGAAGATTTTGGCACTGCGGGCGCGCCCTCGGCTCCCTCTTACAGCGGCGCCAGACGCCGAGTGGGGCCAGGGAGAGGGGAGAAGGACCCAGGACCCTGTGCCCGCGCCCCGGGAGCCGCCGGAGTTCGGACTTCTGCAACTGTTGGCACTTTGGGGGCTTCGCTCAGCGCTCTGCTGTTTACCCTTCTTTCCTGGCTGCCTCCTAACCAAAGCTCCCGGCCCCCTCCGCCCTCGCGCGCCCACCCACCGCCGCCGCGGAGCGGCCCGGCGCGCACTCAGCACCATGAAGAGACTTGGGACTTGCCTGGCGACTTTGGCCGGACTTTTGCTAACTGCGGCGGGCGAGACGTTCTCAGGTAAGCGGGGCCGCATCTGCCGCCCCCGAGGCGCGCGGGCCGGCTCGAGGCGCCTGGGACCCCGGCAGCTCCCTGGTGGGAGAACCCTAGGCTGGCGTCGAGGCCGGGCAGAGGGCGCGGCAGGCGGGACACCGCTTCTGCTCGTGAGCCAGGCTCTGGGCAAAGGACAGGAGGGGCGGGCAGGCGCCGAGTCTTCGGGCGGGCGGAGCCGGCCGACCCCGAAGGCGAGCTCCCCTGCCGGAACCGCCAGCTCGGACCCCGTCCCTCCGCGGCCTGGGCCAGTGCTCAAGGTTGGGCGGCTGCCACTCCGAGTCCCTGGCCGGCTGCGAAAGAAACAGCAAAAAACTTTGCTTGAAGTTCCCAGTTGCAGCCGCCGGGCCGCCTGGCGTAGGCGCTGCGCTGTCCCCGCCGACCTCGAGCAGTGCCCGGGCCCAGGCCGCTCGTGTTCGGCTGCGCCCGCAGCGATCGCTGGGACCTGGCGGCAGCTCCGGCGGTGGCGATCTCCCAGTGCCCTGCCCTTCTTGTCGCCCCCTGCCCAGCGCAGCTGGCGACCCCGGTAGGTCCCAGCGGCCGCGCAGCGTCTTCAGAGAGGCCTGGCATGAGTTCCTCACCGGTCCCAGCGGGAGGGCTCCGCGGCCGCGGAGGGAGCGGGCAGGTCCCCAGGCCCCAGCCGCTGGGGTCCTGCGCCCCGCCGGGCTCCCTCTCCCACCCTCAGCCCCCTAGCGGAGCGCTGCGGCCAGCGGTAACTTGTTCACCAGCCCGGCTGTCCGGGGATCCCAGGTGGAAAGGAGAAGCACTGGCGGTGTGCGAGCAAGTGTGCGAGTGTGCGCGCGTGTGTGTCTGCACACGAGCGCGGGGGCTCTGTAAGCCCATAGGAGCCCCTCATGGAGAGGATCTGTGGATCGGTGTTGGGGGTCCGGCGTGGGGCCGAACCCAGCACGCTGTTACAGGGGTTTACAACCTTCAGGATCACCTTTAATACCTGGGATGTCACATACGTGGATGGACCGCAAATGCTGGCCCATGTGTGCACACCTTTCTAGTGTTTATTAGATTAGTTTCATTAAGGTACACATGCAGTGGGGTTGTGGGCATTCTTCTTTTTCTTTTAATTAAAAAAGCGTGCTCTTTGGCCTGAAACTTATTGTTTGCAAAATAGATCTCTGTGCTTGGGAACAAGTGAGTTGAATGAGTAAGTTGGGCTTTTTAAGAATTTGATTAAGGGGATTTTTGTTAACAGTAAAGAGAAGATTTTAAACAGTAAAAACCTTTGGTCCTCTGGTACGTGGAAACCTTTTATTTTCTTGGGGTACAAGACCTTTGGCTGGTGGAGCTCTGGACTCACAGGCACATTAGCTGTGTCTCCTGTGTTGCTGATCTGCAGGACCCTCGATCACAGTTGGCCTCAGAGAAGGAGTGGAACTTGTAGGTTTTGAAATCAAACCATTAACTTCAATACAGAAATATCCTTTCTTCAAGTTTTGTGTTTCCCTAACTGCCTGGTAATTGCACATGCTCCAGAGGTTTTAATGCAATGATGCACTGTCGTCTGATTATAATACTGATACAGAATTTGGTCTACGTTCTTATTAGTGAATAATAGAGTAGCACTCGCCAATTTGAGAGCCTTGTAACTCATTAGTATTAGAAGCCAAGTATGAGCGCCCTGGTGATGGTTTTCTCTTTATTAAGATACATAACTCCCTGCCTGAGATTTGTTTAAAGTTAAGCTGTGTCAAATATCATTTGGATGGATTTTTAAATTGTGTGCAAGGAGGTGGAAACAAATATTTATATCACTTATTTAAACCATGGGCTCCTCATCACCAAAAATTATTTCAGCCACAGTCGTACTGATCCATGTCCTTGTTAAGGCTGATGTAAATGATCAGTCAAGCCAAAATAGACTTCTACTAAAATTTAGCCTGATTTTTCATTTGAAAGAAATATATCTATTTGTTTGAGTTAATACCATTAAGTGAAATGTGTTTTCTTTTCTATTTGGAAAGCCAGAGTCATCCTGGCATGTTAGCAGGTAAAGGGCAGGGTCCAAGCCATGCCTCAAAAACGTTGAACTTTAAAAAAATGTGAAGTTGAATTAGCTGGGTGTGGTGGTGTGTGCCTGTAGTCCCAGCTACTCTAGAGGCGGAGGCAGGAGGATTGCTTGAGCCCAGTAGTTCCAGGTTGCAGTGAGCTATGATTGCACCATCGCACCCCATTCTGGGTGACAGAGTGAGACCCTGTTTCATTAAAAAAAGAAGTGAAAGGTGAAGTTGGCAAATTTCATATGTGCAAGGATCAGATATGTTTCACTTTATAATGTTTTTTGTTCCTGTCCATATTGCTTTTAGGGATTACAGGTGTGAATCAGGATGTGTGTGGTTTTTTTTGTTGTTGTTGTTTGTTTGTTTATTGTTTTTCGTATGTTGAGAAAGTTAATTCTGAATGCTAGGAGTGGCATCGACACATTTCTTTTTTATGTTTTTTCCAGAAATTGTAGTAACTGGCTGCTTTTCACTTGACATGGGAATACATTCTAGAAACAAAAGAGCTAGATTGTAAGCTCCTTGAGGGCAAAGCCAATTTTCATTTTCTTCTGGCTTTCTTATAGATCCTTAGATTTCACAGGCATTACTATTTGTTGAATAAATCAGTAATGTGAATGCTGATCATTTGCACATGTTCAAATAGTGTGTGAATGGACCAATATATAATAAAATGGAGGGAGAGAAGTGATTGTTAAAAGTTAGAATTGGCTTGCCTTTTCCATACCGGGTTCTCTTTAGGCCTCCCAATGGACTAATCATGAGGGTTTATATATGTAATCAGCCAAGGGATTTTGTATAACTCAGGTATCGTCCACACGAGGCACTCTGCCCTTTGCCTTCTGCAGTGCTCTCCTGTCCTCTTTTGGAATGGGTTTGGAATTAAGATTGCTAATTAAGCATTTCTGAAGGTGTACTACACGTGGTTTGGATACCAGACACCAGAAATAGAATGCTAAACGTACTGGAAAAGAACTAGGATTTGGGCCTGTGACGACTGCGTACTGTAAGCATTTCATTAAACATTTTTTTTTTTTTTTTTTTTTTTGAGACAGTGTCTCGCTGTCATCAGGCTGGAGTACAGTGGTGTGATCTAAGCTCATTGCAACCTCTGCCTCCTGGGTTCAAATGATTATCCTGCCTCAGCCTTCCGAGTAGCTGGGACTACAGGCACATGCCATCACACCCAGCTAATTCTTTTATTTTTAATAGAGACAGGGTTTTACCATGTTAGCCAGGATGGTCTCATTCTCTTGACCTCGTGATCCTCCCACCTTGGCATCCCAAAGTGCTGGGATTCCAGGCATGAGCCACCGTGCCCGGCCTAAAAAATTGTTTTTTATAGTTACAGTTTCTAAATTGTTAGGCAAAATGGTAGAGGTTCACTTTATATCTTCTTGGCCTTTAGTGTTCACCAAAAGTAACTGGTAAGGTGGTATATAAGTAAGACATGAGGAAGAAAGTTAAATCATTTACTTTTGTTAGAAATTCTCTTTTGTATGGTGAGGAGCCAATGAGTTGGCAAGTTATTCCTCTTTGACCCAATTTCTTAAAAGCCAAGTTGCAACATATATAATACAATGAAGTGTTTAGTTGTACTTTATAATGGTTTTGATGTGTTAAGTTCTGCCAGGTAAGCTTTGGTTTGCAGAAATAGAAATACAAGCTTAGCTCTTTGTTTCAGCTACAGTAGTAGTTGAAATATATTAAACGTTAACTTGTGATTTGGGACTGTTGTGGAGAAATTAATTTTTTAAAATAATATTTTAAGGAAAACTGCTGAAATCTAAATAAAGCCTGTAATTTAGTAGTGTGATACCAATGTTAATTTCTTAGCTTAAATTCTGCTGTTTATGTAAGATGTTAACCTTAGGGGAAGCTGGGTGAAGGGTGTACTTACACACTTTGTATTGTTTTTGCAAGTCTTCTATAAATCTGAAATCATTTCAACATACAGAATTTTAAAGCACCCTTTACAAAGAGTGGTAATAGATTTGTTTAGCAGTTAGGTTTTTTTTTTTCAGATTACTATAGTCATAGTATTTTACGTTTTCAAGATGCTTTCGCTAGACTGATAATTGATATGAGGAAAACAGTGAGCATGAAAGAAATATACCAAGAAATTACTGTAACATTCTTAGTGTTATGTATATGTAAAGAAGAATTGCTTGAGCATAATAAATTCTTCCTATGTAGAAAATTATAGGTTTTAGTCTATCATGTTTTCAAAGGGTTATCTTTACAGGTTTTAAGAAAATAATCTACTGACATACAGTGATATATGGATAGGTGTGTATATAGTTTGGGTAATTCAAAATGAATTTTCTTTAATGAACTAATAATTCGAATTATGTCTTCAGATTATATATATTCTATATAAATTAAGCGTAGCCTAGCCTTTAGATTTAGTAAAAGTTGGTTTCGGAATTTAAGTAATTCTGTAACAATTCTTAAAAGCCAATAGCTTTATTTAAATTTTTCTTAATTCTCTAAGGATTGTAATACATTCTAGGAATTGTCAGGCTGTATACAGTATATCTATTTTGGTAGAGGAACTATATATTACATTAAGTATTGTTTTCTTTCCATTTTTGTTTTAGATTTTATTAAGTTTTCGAGAATAAGCATGTATTATCTAAATACCCCAAGGCTTAGTTTTCATTAGGGAATCAGGCATTTTAATGAGTTTTATGCTTTTCAACAGTGAAACATTTTTCTTAGGGGTAATGTCCACCATGCATTTTACTTTAATTCTCAGATTCTTCTTTTTGAAAACCAACTTTCCTACAGTTTCACTTTTTAGTGTGCTTACTATCTTTAAGAATACAACATGTATGTTAATAGGCTTATTTTATAAATGAGGGAAGGTTTAATTATTAATGTCTTTCCAACTCACAAATGCAACATTTTAAAGAGGTACAAAATACGGTAAATCTTCCATTATAAGAGGATGTT